ACCACTCCTGGGCATATACCCAAAAGATGTTTCAACATACAACAGGGACACATGCTCCACCATGTTTAAAGCAGCCTTATTTATAATAGCCAGAAGTTGGAAAGAACCCAGATGCCCTTCAACAGAAGAATGGATGCAGAAAATGTGGTACATTTATACAATGGAGTGCTACTCAGCTATTAAAAACAATGAGTTCACGAAATTCCTAGGCAAATGGATGGAGCTGGAAAATATCATATTGAGTGAGGTGACCCAATCTCAAAAGAACATACATGGTATGCACTCACTGATAAGTGGATATTAGCCCAAAAGCTCACAATTTCTAAGAAACTACATATAGACCACATAAAACTCACATAGAAGAATGAAGACCAAAGTGTGGATGCTTTGGTCCTTTCTAAAAGGAGTATCAAAAGTTTCAACCAGAGCGCCCAAAGTCTAAACCACCAGCCAGAGAGCACAAAGGGAGGGACTCATGCACCTGTATAGGGAATTGAGGATGACCTTGTTAGACTTCAGTGAAAGCGTAGGGCCATGGTCCCCAAAAGTTTGGATCCCCTACTGTATGGGAATTTGAGAGCAGGGAGATGGGACTGGGAGGATGTTTGGAGCACACCATCACAAAAATCAGAAGGAGGGGGTATGGGATAAGGGGTTTTGGGGGGGAATGGGAGAAGAGATAACATTGAAAGGTAAATACATATAATATCCAATAAAACAAAAGACCACACAGATAAAAGGTCTAAAGAGAGAGAGAGAGAGAGAGAGAGAGAGAGAGAGAGAGAGAGAGAGAGGAGAGAGTTTACTTATTTTAAATTAATTTCAAATGTTTCTAGGAATTGTTAATTGGCTAAGATCCAATTTTAAGCTCTCCACAAAAGAATTTACGTCTCTGTTCAATATTCTCAAGAGAGAGGTAACCCTAATTTTCCTCAACAATTAATTGACAAAAGAGAGGTAATCTCACAAAAAGTAGAAGAAGCTAATACTAATCGATATATTATATAGTCTGATTAGTTGTCAGTGGTGCTATAACAGTCCTTTGACAAAAGATTATTAATATAGATTTATATATTTTTAAATAGGATCTTCATGACACTTGGATGAGTGACTGTTGGCGCTTCTGCCCTGATTTTACAAGAACTCTGAAAAATTGGCTTTAAAGACAAAAAAGGAGTCCCCCTGAAATACTCTCCATCATGCCTTGTTCACTTTTAACTCTCTAAAGCTGAAAGCTCATGACAAATCTGTTGCTGACTGCCTCTGGCACCACCAAGACCAAGAAAACATTGTCACAGATATGGGGAAGGACCCTCTTACCCTTAAAGGGAATGGCCTAGACCCAGTTCCCTTATGGAGCTGAGGACAGATATGCCTGCCCGATACCACAGAAGGCACAGCTAACCGGCTACCAAAAAGATTAATGGAAAAAATAGATACCCCCACAAAGCCAGGCCCAACCATAAATACGATGAATAACAATTCACATCCAGGGAAGAGAAATCTCCCTGAGAATCCCCTTCTTTTTCCTTTCCAGGTAAAAATGAATCACCCGTGATGTCTGCTGTTAGAAGTTCTAATCTAGATGCTGGCCTCCGAACTTATACTACTCAGAACTTTCAAGGGCCACTGACAAGAACATCAAACAGCTAGAGATTGACATCACTAATCTGAAGAAATCCCTCATTTCGCCATCTGAAGAGACCTCCTAAAATCGCAAAAATCCTTATTGGACTTAATTAACTCTAGTACAATAGAAAAGGCTGTGTACAGCTCTTGACTGTGTACAGCCCTTAAAGAAGAAGTTTGCCTTTACATAGACAAGGATGGTTAAAGAGAGCATGAAATAGGTAGTGAAGGCCCTAAGAAAAATCAGAGAGGGAAAGAGACAGATGAATACTGGTACAAGAAGTGGTTTGCAGCCTCTCCAAGGTTTTCAACCCTATTTCCTTCCATCTTGGGACCATTATTTGGGTTCTTTTTGCTTTTTTCTGCTGGTCCCTGGGCCTCAAATAGGTGGACTAACTCTGTGATACAACAGATAAATAATTTGGTAGCAAAACCTACTCAGATACATTATCATAAGTTAGCTATGGAGGACCACGAGACTCAAGAAGAGGTTGTTACTTCATACAGGGTGTTTCCAAAACCCATCTCCACCCAACCAAAACGGGGGGACTTCTGCCCCTAGACCAAGCAGAGAGGGGCCACCCAGAACCCCCTCTGACTGGCGATCTGAATTCTTGCTTAGGCTGCGAGGATAAGCACTGCAAGGGAATATAAATAAAAGATAAAAATATCTATCTGGGTTCCCTGAGGGACAAGCCTGACTGCATAGGGGTTGATGTCAAAAGTATCCACTCTCCAGGAAAAAGACATCGGGACGGGTATGGCCCTCATGCCTCACTGGACAACGACAGGGGGACTGGAGCCATTACAAGGTCCCCTTCAAATACTGGAGGTCAGGCCTCTATCCCAGCCTTTGCAAGTTTAGAATTGCCACAGCCCTTCTATACTTAGAGAAGGGAGATATCAGGGGCAGCCCTGCTTACACACTGTAGGCCTAAAATCAGCCATAGGCCTAAAATCAGGAATAGGCCTGTCATACATGTATACTAACACCAAGTCTTGGGTCTCAGTGGAAAAACATTGAAACAGATAGCTATAAGCTAATGTCAACAGGCAGCTTTAGTGGCAATTTATAAGCCTGAGTAGTCATAGACCTTGTAAATAGGTAGCCTTGGCAGACAATACCAACTTAGATAAGGACAAGCAAGTCATAGGCAGAGTCAGTGAATTGTCCCCTGTTCACCTAGCTGATACCCGGTTCTGAAGATATCTGTATCCCCCCCTGAACACCCACACTCCAGTGTCATTCCCTTCCCCACATCCTGACTTTATGTGTTTATAACCCCTGTGTGAATTAATTACGATTTGAGAAAAAAAAATTTTAAAAATGTAATCACCAGAAAAAAAAAAAGAAGAATGTTGGAGATGCCATGGGATGTCTGTCAAGGAAAGCTGCAGACAAGCAGTGGAACTAGCTAAAGAGAGAGAAGTATGTTCCAGTCAGCAAAGCTGTAGGGGCAGAGCCATCTAAGCCATCTTTAACACCATTTAGGGAACTACAGAATTTGGAGTTTGCTCTAATGGTGTCCATTCTTGCTTTCATCCAATATTACCTCACTATGCTCCTGTCACTCTCTTTGAAATGATAGTATATATTCTGTGCCAATATATATTAGAAAATTTTAATTTGCTTTTTTATTTTATAGGTGGTTACAATTAAGCGATTGCCTAGAGTCTCAGAAAAGATTTTGGACTTTAAGCTTATAAATAATGTTGAGACTATTAAAGAGTATCGGAACATTTGAAGTTGAACTACATGCATTTTGGACTATGAAATGACCACAGGCCTTTGTGGGTTTTTGTCTCAACATTTAGTGGCAATTTATAAGCCTGAGTAGTCATAGACCTTCAGCTATTATTCTAGATCCATACCTGCTTGCCCACCTGCCTGCCTGCCTGCCTGCTTGCCTGTCTGCCTGTTTCCTACTGTGATGGTCATGGACTCACCCTCTGAAACTGTAAACCCAAATTATCTCATTCTTCTGTAAGTTGCTATGGCCATGGTGCTTTATCACAGCAATTTAAAAAGTAACTAAGACATTGTCATTACAAAAACAAAATCATGACTTTCAATTGTTATCCTCAGAGAAGAGATAGCCTTTACTAAAACATGTGGAGATGATAGCTGGAGTGGTTACTTGTTACTGTATCAATGTGTTAAGCTACTTTCTAAGATAATCAACAATGCTTGACTCCCCACACTTATTTGTTTGTTTGTTTGTTTGTTTGTTTGGTTGGTTAGTTGGTTTGTTTTGATTATTTTTGAGATGGGATTTCTCCAGTAGTCTTGAAATTTATGCTGTAGACCAGGCCAGCCTTGAACTCATAGAGATCCACCTGCCTCCTGAGTGCTGGAATTAAAGGTGTGCACCACTGGAATCCCATACTTATTCAATTTTGTGACCCTCTTTCCCTCTGAGGATGGGAATTTACAACTGGTTTTTCATTAGTGACTAGAGCAAAGGTGACTAAGTGCAGCTTATTTAATTCAGTTTAAAAATTATGATTTCATCTTGCTATAGGATTATTTGATAACATTGAAAATATAAATGGGCATTTATACAAAGACAACATGGTAAGGAAATGAGGGAACTAGATTTGTGGCCCATGTTCTCCAGGCTCAGACCAGATCATTATATGAACAAGCTTAGAACAAGTTCATGAGCTCCTTCAGTTGAATCCCTAACCCTGTCTAACACATGACCACAGCCCTATGAAAGCATATAGGAAGCAATCAGTGAAGCCATGCCCAATTCATGACCCGCAGACAACTATTAGACAACAAATATATACATAGTGAATAATGAAAATAATAAAGAAAAATATAAAAAGTTTTAAAATATAACAATTATGAGAATTAAAGCTTCTAAAAATATTAATAAAATATTATCTTTTTAAAACATCTCTTTTATTTGATTTACCTGTGTATATGTGTGCAGATGCCCCTAGAGTCCAGAAGAGGACATCCCCTGAGCCTGAAGTTACAGTTAGTTGTGAGCCATATTTTACATGCTGGGACCCAAACTTGGGTATTATGCAAAAGCAGTAATCACTCTTGACCACTCACCCATATCTCCAGGCCCAAGTAAGATACTAATTATAACAAGACAAGATAGTGGGGGTAAGAGTAGGCAAGAAATATACTAGACTTAATGGGAAAGCAATATCTAATAAAATTTAAATGTAACAGTTGAAATATCAAAAGCTAATGGCTAAAGAGATGTCTTACTTGGTAAGAGTATTTGTTGTTCAAGCATAAGAACCATAGTTCAGATTCTAGTGTCCCAGAAAAACCCAGGTGTGGCCATATTATCATTGATTTTTACTCCCAACTTGCCACACATTAGAACTAAGTGAGTAGGGAGCCTCACCTGAAGACATGTGCTGATTGCCTTGATTGACAGCAGAAGACCATCCTGATTGTGGGTGGCAGCTTTTTATAGAGGTCCAGATACAAAGGGGAAGGCAGGAGGACGATCACTTGCCTTTTACTGTTTTTCTCTTCCCTCTTTCTGTGGGTTGATTTACTCTGTCGCTGCTGCTGGCTCCTTCACTGATATCAGAACAAGTGTTCCCAAGCTTCCATTGTGCATCAGTGGCTCTCCCAAAACCGTTCAGGATCTTGGCACCAGATTGGATCTGCTGAGGCACCCAGCATTGTGGACTAATCAAATATAGAATTTCAGTTATGATTCAGCTGTTATTGCTATTTTAACATGTGCTGATGTAGTAAATTCACACACACATATATAAATAATATGTAAATATTCGTCCTATTGATTTTATTCCTCTAAAGAGCCTTTACTAGTTAAACTCTTGTAACCCAAGTGCTTTTGGGGCCAAGCAGGTACACACTGAGACTTGCTGCACTCCAACCTAGCTTTGGGTTCAATGACAGATACTATCTCAAGGGAATAACGTCCCTGCATGTCACACAGAGAGGTGTACACCCATGCACTCACATTCATTACACACACACACATACACACACACACACACACACACAAAAGAAATATCAAAGTCAGAATTATTTATTGTCAGTGTATATGAAACATGAATTTCTTTAAAACATGAAGTATCCAAATTAGTAAGCAACCAAATATAAAAATGACAGTCAGGAATCATAAAAAAATTTAATTTTCCTACTAAAAATAAGACATCAGGACTGAATAGTCCAAATTTTTCTATGATCAGAGAGTAATATCTTTAAAGATAAACCTGAGCCAATTCTCACTTTAAATATGAAATAATAATGATAAAAAGACTCAATAAGAAAAAGAGCAGATCAACCTTCATTACAATCACAGCTAGAAAATCACCCTAAAAGATTTGCTAGCCCCTTGAGTGTCATACATAAAAACTTGCATGAGTAAGTATATGTAGGTACTATGTGCCTACATATAAAATATGATAGAACTCACACTCATTGTGAGTGTAACACTTGAAAAGGATAAAGAGATAGTCATTAAAAATATTTTTTAGTCTTTTACTGAAAGAGTGTCTTGAAATGTAACTCAGATTGCCTTGTATTCACTGTGTATCCCAGGCTTGCCCCAAACCCAAGATCCTCCTACCTCACTGCTGGGGTTTAGAACATGCCATCATGCTCTAAAGAAAATCATTTTTAAATGAGCTTGGATTTGGCATCTTTACCTTCTTTTCTTCCTAAACTCACTGTCTTGGTTACTTTTCTGATGCTGTGACAAAATACCTTGACCAGGGAAATTTATTGAAAAAAATAATAATTAGGCTTATGGTTTCAGAGTGTTGAGTCCGTGATGGCAGAGCAAATGCGTGTGACAGGAACAGTAAGAACTCACATCACATCCTACAAAGCCCATCCTAAGTAACGTATCTCCTCTAATGAGGACACACCACCTAATACTTCTCAAACAGTTCTACTAATTAGGTACCAACTATTTATTTATATGAGCCTATGGGGGCTAAACCTCATTCAAAACACCACACCCGTATCCTGTGGGATTTCCCATTGTTAACACATGGACTAGCACAGTGAGTCAAGGAGAAACAAACTTTGCAGTTATTGATTTTCCCCTGCCTCCCAAGTGCTGGGATAAAAAGTGTACACCACTATAACCAATTTTGTGTTCTGTAGCTTGCACTAACCCTGGGTATTCAACAATAAATCTAATAATAAAAAATACATAGTATTCATCACAAGAGTATTTATTACTCATCCACAAAAATCATGGCATGTCAATTACTGATCAAATAACTGGAACTGAAGATCATCATTTTAAGTAAAATAAGCAGACTCAGAAAAAAAGAAGTACCACATTTTCTCTCATGTAGAATTCATGGAGAAAGACAAGAAAAAGCAGACTTTGAGAGGAACAGAGGGAGTAAGATAGATAAGAAAGGATTTTGTAGGAATTAATATGATCAAAGTATATTATAGTTATGTGTGAAAGTATCATGATTGTACTTATTATTTCATAAAATTAATATACACTAAATAAAGAGCAAATTGAAAAGCTAAAATAATAATACATTCCTAGTGCTCAGATATGCACAAAATGCACACAGACCAGAAGAAGAAAATCAAGTTGGTTGTGGGAACTCACATCTCTAATCCCTGCACCTTGGCAGAGACAGGAGGATCGTGAATTTGAGGCCACTCTGAGCTACATAGCAAATGCACAGTTATCCAATACTAGTAGTATGTGGTTCAAAACTCGCGGGGGTCGCAGGCAGGGGTGCGGGGAGCTGGTCACCCTTGCTGCGCTATGGCACTTCCTGGAGAGACTCAGCAGCGCAGACTGCCCCCGAATCACAGGTGTGGGGAAAGAAGCCACACGCCTTGGGGACGACAGAGTCCCGGGAACAGGGGTGCAGGGACACTGCGCACTCGTTGGGACACAGGGCGGGTCAGGCTTGTGTACCGAGGTCATGGCTGAGTCTCCCAAGGGGCAGCTGAGTCTCCCAGGGGCCCTGAGAAGGCGCTCCGTGGACAGCTGTTGTAGAGAGGGAGTTCTGCGGGCCTCTACAGCACAGAGAGTGCAGGGACAGGCAGAGAAGGCTTCCCCGGCCCCCCCCCCAGATTTCCACTTACACAACGAGTCCAGAATTACAAGAGACACATAGAGATTTATTGACATGGCAATGAGTCTGAATGATGGCGTGCTCTCCCAAAAAAATGCCAGAAGGGGTTTCCTTATGTTAGAAGGGGGAGGGGCGGGACCAGAGCCTTTCGGTAATATGTAAATCTTGAAGCAGAGACCTGTTCCCCCACCCTCTACCTGGGCCTACTGCATGTTACATGGAGACCGCATGTCAGGTCTCTGGGCTCTGGGGGCGTGGCCAAACACCCCAGGATTTCCACAGCACTACAGTAGTAAGTCCATTTCTCAAAAGGGGGGGGGCAGGGAGAGAAGTTAAAAGGAAAGAAAGATAAAAGCAAAGTACTGTGGGAGGAAGAATGAAGCATCCATTGACTTACAGCTAAGTCAAAGCACAGACATGAGAATACTCGGACATTGACTAAAGGTATAGGGTGGTTTCTGGAATCATATCAATACAAAGTAACAGAAAGTATATTTAAGAGAGGACACCAGGACTCTGAGATACAGGACATATCCAGTAGTAAGAAGATAGTCAACATGAAGACCCAAAAGTACTTTCCACAATGCTTCTGAGTTATTCTGCTCCCTGGGACACTTAACAATTCCTGGAGACATTTATATTCTCACAAGTGGGAGGTGATATGGCAGTGACTCCTCTTGTGCAGAGACCAGGGATACTGTAAAATGCCCACTACTACTATATAAGACAGGAGTGCCCCCAACCTCATTATTCTGATAAGTATCCCACAGTCCTATCATACCCCCCAAAGTCACAAAAGCCAAACTCTGGAAAAACTCATGCCATAGGATTAAGTCAGCTATCCAGTCTGCACTACTTTGTGACCATAGCGCACAGTACAGTCCCTGGATGGGGTAGATAGGTTGGGCAACTAGGAAAGAAATCATGATTATCTTATATGTCTGCCTATCTAAATCACAGAGCTCTCATTGGCAGACCTCATTAGAAGGGAATCAATCGCCTTGCTTAAAAGCAAGCACATTGAAATGTGAAGGATTCAACACTATGCCAGACTACAGAAAGAAGGGTCTATGCAAATACTGACACTTCTGATTGCCACGTGAGGGTTTCACTCCTAACAGTATACAGAGAAGACTGGGTGATGGGGATGATGACAAAGAATATGAGAGGCCTCACAACATCTTTCCCCTCCATGTTACCTATGCTGCTAACTTGTGGGAATCCAATAAGCTATGTAACCATCGTAGGTTGGATCCAGCCTCAAAGCATGTTGGAATACTGGGGCATGGAGGATCCAAGTGTGAAGGCAGTATTCATGGCCCTAGTCCCAAGACAAGAGTATCACTCAACTTTAACCAAGAGGATATGAATAAAAAGGAATGCAAGAAAGAGAAGTCAAGCCTGAAGGTGACCACAGAAATTATTTTTTAAAAAATGCAATGCATCCAGGATCAATGAAGAAGGATATGGACTCCCACCAGGCACACACAGAGCGCCTCTGAAGGAATAACGCATGCTGTTCTCCCTCAGACTGCTGGTTTTCCTCATCTCCTTCTTTCTGTCTCCATCCCTTATTTTATGTCTTTCAACACAGCAAACAATAACAACAAAATATCAGTCCTAATAAAGGATTCATGTCTGAATGACATCATTTGATTACTATATGCTGGCATGGCTTTCTCTTATTCACAAATGTAAAATAAGGATATCAGCACTGATCCTTAGCAAAATAGAGGGAGACGGTCCTGAAAGAAAGGCTCAAGGCCAAAGATCAGAAACACTGAGGCTTCACCTGCATGCTCCTTCAGTACACTTTCCAGGATAGTCTTCCATAGCTGTTTTTCCATGGGATTCCTGTGCTGAGGGTCCAGCTTAGTCAGACAATATAGAATGTCTTTCAT